AATATGACTTTGTTAAAAAGTTACAAAATGTTAATACAACACGAATACACTTGATATGGTGGTATCTGTCTGTAATTTGAGTTGTCAGGTTTTGGCTGATAGCTTTGTCTTGTTTGGGGAGGGTGATTCTGCTAGAGCCGAGGGGCTCTCGGGTAAGCTGACGTCAAGGAGCATGGGTGTCCCCTTGCTTCAGCGGGTCTCCCACTGGGAATAGGTGTGGCAGCAGCAGAGTCACCCAAGGTGTCTCTGCTTGTCCCTAGACACCCATCGCCCACTCACAGTGCGGCTCGCTGCAGATGAGGGACTCATCGGATAAATGACCCAGACCATAGTGCTGTCCAAAGCAGGTGGCTGACAGAGGGGGTTGAGCACGTGCAGAACTGACTGCCTGTCCAGGTGCACCGAGTGACAGGACGTCTGAGCCACCAGGAGCTACACCAACTTCCCTCTGAGGACCCACTCGGCACTCCACTCAACGCTGGACATTGGTAACGCCAGAGTGCGATTTCACAGAAAGAAACACCACTGTCCCGCTGACTGACAGCAGAATTACGTGGTCTAACACTCAGGCAGGATTCTGTTTTCTGCCCTTGTTTATTAAGAGCCTACCCAGGTCTAAGCCATGCCCTGGTCGCCTACTGGATACGGCAGGTCCTCCTGAAAGAGAAGTCCTCAGGTGTGTGCCAATAAGCTCTTCAGAACAAAAGCATGCAGGATGAGAGGGGCTCGGGCAGTCTTAGCCACTGCAGCTCTCCTCCGTGGGGTTTCTGTCAATTTAGGACAAAATCCAAATGAGGCATTCTATTTTCTCGTTTTTTTATTTCTTATTTTATTTTATTTTTTTGTTGTTGTAGATGGACAGAATACCTTCATTTTATTTGTTTTTTTTTTAATGTGGTGCTGAGGGTTGAACCCAGTGCTTCATGCATGCTAGGCAGGGCTCGGCCACTGAGCTACAGCCCCTGTTTTCTCTTTTATTACAGTGTTTTCTACCTTAAAATTCATGAAAATGTATCTTACCATGACTCAAGGTAACTCTTCGTGAGACCACTTGCACTTGGCCTGCGTGATGCGTCCCTCATTCCAGGTGGGTCTGGTGACGTTGCTATAAGGCTATGACAACCCCACTTCCATATGCAAAGATATTATGAAGAAAAAAGATACATACTTCATATGTATGTTGTTATATTAAATATATCACATATAATTAAATAAATATATAAATAATAAGTATGTATGAAGTACATGTGTGTATGAAAGCAGGTGTGTCTGTACACGTGGCTATATAATTAATGCCCTTGATATGAACCCAAATCCCAACTCCCACTTTACTGATTGATCAAGATGCTTTATGTTCACACTGGAAAAGCTAACCCTGGCTGAACGCAGGATTGAGAAGTTCTGAGGACCCGAGAGATGGCAGGGGGGTAGAACAAGGCACCCTCCAGGGCCTCAGGAGCACCCACTCCCTCCCCAGGGCTCTCAGGCCTCAAGTTCACCCCAGTCAAGGAAGGCCCACTGGGGTGTTGGGCACAGGGCTGTCCCCCATTTGGAGGGCACAGACAGGAAACACCTCTTGCTCACGTGGTGTAGACCATGCAGTTCGGCGACAGGCCCAAGCAAGCACCCTGGAAGTCGAACCAGTTAGAACAAATGAGCCACAAACATGACCCTGAGACCCTGAGTCTACAGCCCGCGTGGTGGGTCCACCTTACTGATAGCTTGCTCATGACAGAAGGCTTCCGTAAGACCCTAACTCACAAACCCACACACCAAGCAGAGGGGAAATGTGGGTTTAGGGCCGAAGAATTCTGGAGACTTCAGGAAACTGGAGACACCAGCTCCTGCCTCCCAGGGGCCCTAGGAACCTGAACAATCCACCACTCCTCCAGGCCAGTTCTCACCGACTCTGCCACACCTTGCAGGAAGTGCAGACGCCCCAGCTGGGCCCCTGGACTCACGCAGCTCTTTCCTGAGTGCCCTCCCGATTAACAGCACTACCCTGTAGGTGACAAATATGTGACCACCACTGATGGCTCTTAAGAAGTCCCAAAGTATGAACAGTCAGGGTGGGTTCTGTTCAGTAATAGGCCATGCCCCCCGTTCTTCCTCTGAAGTCTACTCCTGAGAGGTGCTGCCTGGCAGGCCTCCTGTCCAGCTCTGCATCTACCCGGCACACTGGATGTCAGGGGAAGGTCAAGAGGAAGGTGTGGAGAGCAGGCCAGGCCTGTCCTGAGTGACTCCATGGTGTG